CTGAGTAATAAGACAACTTAAGATGTACCCTTACCTGTGTTGGTCGTAAGGTGCTTTGCTCATCGTGAGATGCTTTACTTTACCTGAGTAATAAGACAACTTAAGATGTACCCTTACCTGTGTTAGTTGTGAGGTGCTTTGCCTGTGTTGGTCGTGAGGTGCTTTGCTCATCGTGAGATGCTTTACTTTACCTGAGTAATAAGACAACTTAAGATGTACCCTTACCTGTGTTGGTCGTAAGGTGCTTTGCTCGTCGTGAGATGCTTTACTTTACCTGAGTAATAAGACAACTTAAGATGTACCCTTACCTGTGTTGGTCGTAAGGTGCTTTGCTCATCGTGAGATGCTTTACTTTACCTGAGTAATAAGACAACTTAAGATGTACCCTTACCTGTGTTGGTCGTAAGGTGCTTTGCTCGTCGTGAGATGCTTTACTTTACCTGAGTAATAAGACAACTTAAGATGTACCCTTACCTGTGTTGGTCGTAAGGTGCTTTGCTCATCGTGAGATGCTTTACTTTACCTGAGTAATAAGACAACTTAAGATGTACCCTTACCTGTGTTGGTTGTAAGCACCTTACCTATGTTAGTTATAAGCACCTGTTAATCCCAATTATCTCTTCTAATTAGAATGGACCACCCATGCGGGTGACCATTCTAATTAGAAGAGATGATATAAAAAGCCCTATGCTGCAATAAAGGGGGCTATAAAACTGCAATATCTCTGGGACCCCAGGCTCTAAGTCATTTCATGTGTTATCGCACAAGGTCAGTGTGACATTTGTGACATTTGTGACTGGCGTGATACTATTAATAACACCTGTGTAGCCTGGTACCCACTATGAACTGCCAGGTTTACTGAGACAATAAGATGTGACACTGGTATGTATTCACATTACAAAGAAGCTATCATATAAGCATACTCTGGTATGAATAATAATAATATCAAACCTCCAGGACACAACACTTATGATATATGTGACGTAGTGTGACACATTTCCCAAAAGGGAAATTTTCACCGTTTGACTGTATGATCATCGAGGATGTCACAGATCGTCACAAACCCAAGTTGTATATTTTGACTATACAAACAACTTTCATTAAGTGACCTATACTTACAGCTGAATAATTGTGCTAGCACTGGCTAATTAATAGCTGATCTATATCTAATCCAGTGATATCTCACTGAGTAGATGACTTTTATAGGAAATTGAAGCAATACCAGGGGTGCCTAAATGATAAGATTAATATCCTGGACAATCAAATGTTATTAGTATAGCTATATCGTCTCATGATGATTCATCACCTATATTGATACTGCAATATCTCTACCAATCCTGCATCAAGTCAGATGATTCTTGTACTGGTAGGTAGGTCATAACCTAGTGCTCATATGCTCTGATTTAATCATCGTCCTATATCTTGAGACTATGATATTACACTGTGTTTCTCTAGTTTTTCATATTTCAAATTTGATCAGACTTAATGATCACTTGATATCTCACTGGAAAATCCACGAATAAGCCTAGTGCAAGTTGTGCTCTGTTCCAAATAAATGGCCATCGAAGATATAGGAGCTCCTTATGATTTTACATATTATATTTACCTCCATATATGACATATATCCTAACACACCAATCTTCCAATAACTGAATTAGAAGTGAGGGATCCCCAATGGTATAAGGGTAGGAAGCATGAGAAGGGTCCCCCTATAGGATTACACTTTTCACACCATATTATATGCATGAAAAATCTTGTTATTCCCCGTTCTAATAATGAATAGTACTGCACATCATATTAGCAATACAGCTGTAATCTGCTAGTTGATTATAGATCAAATATATGCAAGTTGGCAAATGAGGTGTATAAATCTACCCACATACTCCGATTGATCTACTACTGGAATTCCTGAAGGCACTATAAGACCTTAGAGAAGTATGTCTCTGACTGCAGCTTGCAGTTTATTGAGAATAGAGCCCTGAAAAGAGAAGTAGAGGAGATCTTGGATGCCAGAGTCAGGTATAAACAGCTTAATTACTTTGTCAGGTAGAAAGGCTATGACATGTCATACAATTAATAAGTACACTTTGGGCCATAGTGATAATATTTAGCTTAAAAAGCTTTAGGAATAGCTAGAATAGTGGTAGTCTAGAAATCTAAGTATTTCTAGTCCCTATGTTTTAGTTATATAATCACTATTATATTATTATTCATTTAATTATTTTCTGTCTTAAAATTACCTTAATTTTGATGGGGATTGTCATCTTTAATATATATGATTAATGTGGAGTGAGTTTTTATGACCATTAGTAGGTTTGATCACTATGTCAAGCTATATCATTTTGATCCCAATTAGAATACAGGCCTTTTCCACTACATGCCAGGTTATTGGCCAGAAGAAAAGGAGTTAGCATTACTGTATAATAGTATATATAGTATTTTCAACATTATATCTATCAGTTTAATGTATTAATGACGCATTTCTAAAGTCTTTGTTAGCTGAAAAAATTCTTTCTAGAGTTTTATGCTACCCTTATTCAAGCTACTCCTAGAGCCTAGACTGATTCTTACACTTGCAGGTGATACTTTGACCATATCTTTGCCCTGGATGAGGTCAGAGAGTTTGATAGGAAGTATGCAGGTAAGCCACAGCACATTGCCTCTACCACCTTTGATGTAATACTCTTCTGGTTTCAAAGGGGTGGGTGATGTCAGGAGAACCTCTCTTTTAGCCTCTCGGTCTCTAGTAAATAAAGGACTTATCAGTGTCTTGTCAATATCTTATATACTATTGAAATATCTTATCATAGGCTTTATTACAAACTTCTAAGCTTCCTATAAGAAACTTATAAGTGTCTTGTCAGTATCTTATATAGTATTAAACCATATTAGATTAAGCTTATAATAAGATTATTAAAAGATATTATAAGAGCCTTATAAGACTATTAAAAGATATTAAAAGAGCCTTATAAGACTATTAAAAGATATCAAAGGAGCCTTATAAAACTATTAAAACATATTATAAAGCTGCTCATAAAGAGCTTATAAGTGTCTTGTCTGTATCTTATATACTATCAAAACAAAACATATTATAACAGTGACCAAATGTCTTTGTAATCAATTTAGCACTGTCACACTTGTGCTTGTGTTCATAACATGTGACGTTAATAGGAACCAAGTTCCAAAATACAATGAGCACAACAAACCCCACTGGGCTAGGGGCCAACCAATTCTATAGAGTATACAATCTGCTGCTAAATTGACAATGCATCAGGCCCCTGAAGGATTGCCTGATTCAGTCTGGCCAGTCATTCAACTCTGGCTGTGCATCTTTTTGGTAAATGTGAGTCTGAGAGGACCTGCAGCCACTGTCTACCAGTGCACAACTTCTGCACCCTTCACTAGTCTATGCATTGAGACACCACATTCAAAGGGGAGGGTGATGTTAGGAGAACCTGTCAGGGGAAGTCCCCTTTCGGCCCCTCGGAGACGTGTCCGATTCCGGTCTGATTCTGGTTCCGACTCCGGTCCGGCCCCCCATCTGCCCGCACAATCACCGATGCGTTAATGATCCGTCAACGCCCTCCCAACGGTTGCCCGGGGACCTTGCCTGCTACGCCGCCCAAGCCTTCTGTGCCCAACGGGCGGCAGCTACGGACAAGCAGTATATAGTCAGCTACCTAGCAGGCGGACCCTCAGAGTTTCTTCTCTTTGGATCCTCCCCTGCTAGGTCAGCTTTATTCGTATTTGCTTACCAATATTCACGCTTTGGATCCTCCCCTGCTAGGACCTTGATCTCAGGCCTCCGGGGTTGCCCTTACAGAACCTCCCTTTTAGCCTCCAGAGACATCTCTGTCTCCAGTAAATAAAGGACTTATAAGTGTCTTGTCAGTATCTTATATACTATTGAAACATCTTATTATAGCCTTATGAGACTATTACAAATTCTAAGCTTCCTATAAGAAACTTATAAGTGTCTTGTCAGTATCTTGTATAGTATTAAACCATATTGTATTAAGATTATAATAAATCAGCGGACGAAATTAGTCATAGACGATTACTCAGGTACTCGTAATCAGGGCACGTGCGCTCATTCCTCAGACTTGCCCATTGCCAAATAGCAATCTCCTCCTCGTCTCTCTCTCTCGAAAACGCCGGGCTGCAGTACCCCCGACTTTTGTGCATCACCATACTTGGCCAATCGAAGACCTTGTTGGAGCCCCGGCTGATGCTTCCCTTGCCACCACGATCCATCGTTACCAGCGACAATCGACGTGTCGTGCCGAAACTGTCCTGGTTCCACTTTCCTCTCCTGTCAAACGCGCCCGCCCCAGCCATCTAGCGTGTTAGGAGCCTCCCTTCTTTTGCCCGGGGACAAGCCGGAGAGATACGAGATTGGCTCTGAAGCTGAACCTTTAAGCAACCCTGCCGGTGTTCGCCAAAGTCAGCCAGCTGTAAGCATGCTCTTTGCTTTACCGCAGCTCAACATATGACAGGATAAAGCTATGCAAGCCTGGGCCGAAAGCTTTTGAGACAAGTACCTTCAAGCTATGTTATGGAGAAATGGACGTGGCAGGCAGTCTGACCTGTGTGCTTCTCATTCAATTGCGAGACCTGCCACGGCATGGTTTGCGCTGAGTGCTGTGTTCGAAAGCATGAAACCAACCCAACCCATTTTATTGAGGTAAAAATTCCTATCGCGCTCGATCTTTGCTGATCTTCCGATGCTAGAAATAGACTGGTGTCTACTCCGTAAGAACCAGCTCACGCGATTGGGCCCTTCGAATCCAATTTGGCCACTTGCTTGGACAGACATGTCCTCTTCCCCGAACTGGCCGTCCCGACTTGGTCATAATTATAATTGCCGACAATGGCATTCGCGACGTTGCGATCGACAACTCTTGAAAGCCGGCTATTATCCTGCAACGACCTTCTCGCCGCGAACGTGCGCCACATTCTCTTGTCTTGACAGATTTCATTATCTGTATTTGCGTGCAAAAATGACGGCCTACGACTATTACTCGACATTGGAGTCGCTAACCGATGGCTTGGGGATCAATCCACCGGACCGTCACTCCATCTTTTTGCGAATTTCTCGCCAGTATCGACACCTGAGGCGTGATGGGAACTGGGCCGGGCGAGCTCGCCCTCAAATGTCCCGCTTGTCCGCGGCCAGGTCCACCTATCCGAATGATGGGAAGATGCTCCTCCAGGAGACCAGTAAGCTGGTTGCATTTCTTCCGGCAATGATAATCTGATCTTCGTTCAGATGCTTGTGCATCATATCATGTTCATTGCCATGAATGCCTGCTTCCGCCTCAACGACCAAACGAGCCGAGACCCTGGTCTTGGAACGGGTTGGCGGCACATGATCGAATGACATCCCTATCGCGAATATCTGTTGACGGTGACGGACAAGCAGGAGGTAACGTGTTTCGTTTCCGACAAAATATCTTCGACTGATTGCACTTGCAGCGGTCTTGCGGCTCTGGACCGTGCAAATTCCAAGTTCTCCCGAGGCTATAGTGTTACTGGTGTTGGTATGGGGGGTTTGCGCAAGGGGACAATCGTGCTTCCTAATGGTGTAGGTGATTTGCAAGCGGGCGAGCGGTAAGTCGTCTTACAAGAAAGTGAGTCGCGCTCTCATGCCCGTCAGCTACAGCAACCTGGACTGCATCTTCGCTTCCTTCATGCGCCGCTTGAACTCCAGACTCCCCAAGTTAATCTCCTACGACATCGTCTGTCCGTGGATGAAATATCTGATTGAACGCTTGGCCAAATTGCCTCAAAGGGCAAAATGCACATCAAAGGTCACTTGATCCAGTGCCAAATCCTGTTTTCTCTACTTTACATTCTCGGTTCGGGTATGACGGACGGCGAAAGTATTGAGCGCTAATGGAACATGATCGGTGGGGTTGCAGGCAAGCACACGCGTCTGTGGACCTGGCGCTCGATGGGATCAACTTCGACGACTTGGAACTGGATGAAGACCCTTGGACCGGGTGAGTATCGTCTGATAATTCGCGTTTTGTTACTCATTGGCATCTGCTAGCGCTGTTATTACTGGACATGGCAGCGGAAGAGTGGGCGAAGCAAGAACAAGACATTGACTTTAGGCGACAACTTCGTGCCCAATCTCTCTGACGCAAAGTCTGAGGGTACGTTGTTTGACTTTGAGTGGTCGACTAATGCTCATCTTGATCAAGGTTGTTGGGAAACGCCGTATGCAAAATGTTCAGACAGAATTGGATAAAGCGGGAGCAGTCCCCATTCGTGATGTTTCCCTGACCAAGTTCATTACAGCGTTGCTGGACGCTGAAACTGACCAGTGCGTGTTGTTTTTGTCTTCGGGTCTGTTTCACTTCTGATCGTTTTCCGCTTAGGCGGCGTATTCGTGGATTGGTGGATTTGAGGAAGACAGTAGCAACATCAGGGAGAGTCAGTTTTTCGGCGACTGCGTCGAAAGCTTTCCTCCGGGCATTGGATGCTCAAAGAATGTTGCAAGAGACACTGGCCGGACGCGTACCTCTCTTCTCACCTTCCGCAATCCCACGATTGGATCGCGGCAATGGTGGTTGCCGCGAGGGTTTGGTGGAGATCAAGCACGCCTTACGAGATGCTCAATGTTGTTCTGCTTTGACCCGTCTGCAACTGCAAGTGCATGTCAAGTCTCGACTGCTCATCTACACACGGCAGCACTCGCACACTCATTCGCGGACACTACACCACCATCCGAGTCAAAACGTTAACCATATACCTTGGTTACCCTCTAGTGCCGAGGTAATCTTGCTTTTTGAGGAGTACCATAAAATATCTGTCGGGCCATTAGTTTCAAGTCGGATACTATACTGATGCACACACCTTTTCCATTCATCGTTGCTCGTTTCCGTCCGAGTCCCCGTATCATCCACCAGATTACCGACATGGCCGCTGCAAAGACCGCCAAACGACCCGTCCGTCTCTCGAATGTTGCTTGTGTCAACGATTTGGGAGGGAGTAGCTTGTTGCTGTGTTCTGAATCGTCTTGGAGTTTGTTCTGTAAAGTCTCGCTCACTGGCATTGTCGCGGGTCACAATCCTTTCTTCAGAATTCGATGGCTCAAGCACCAAATACAGGGCACACCGGGGTTTCGCGCACCCGGAGCTGAATCTTTGTAAGAAATCATGTGCCAACAATCACCCAATTGTAGTTCATACTCTAGGACCAGGATATAGAGCATACACTGCGGATCTGCAATAAGCCACCATCTGGGACTCGGCCTGATAAGCCGCGATCTGGGACAGTCCGAGTCCCAGATGGCGGCTTGTTATTTTAAAATAGTTGGCACCGTGGGTTCAAACCCACCTTTTTGCCATTTTTAAATGCAGTAGTAATTATTATATTTCTCAATGAATTCTGAATATAAGAAGATGATTTGGATATCAAAAAATCAACAGGGTGATTTTATCAATCAACTCCAGACATCAAATTCCCATATACGGACCTTTGCTAATCAACTTGCATATTGCTTGATTATGTCAGTTTCTACTGAGAAAATTTAAAAAAAAACTTTGACTTTATATTGGACTATACAAGGACTCAACATATATAAATTAGGTGCCCACTAGAATATGGCCCCAGCAGAGCTGCTCTAAACAAGAACAAGAAGTGACATTCAAGTTAATGTATATAAAATGTCATTCATGCTCTGCTCTTCACTTCTGCCCCATAACAGAGTGAAAAAAATCTGGAGCTAGAGTAGTCTCTGGGGGCTCAGAATAGGGGGGGAGAGTTCCCCTGACATAGATGGGAAACATTACTGGTATTACTGTAGCATTTTATTCAGTTTGTATGTCACGTGTCACACTAGCTATAAAATTCGAAATTTTTGGCATATCACACTATTTTGCTCAAAATCCCCTTCTGAAAAGGCAATTCTTGACATTTCCGGGCGCCTCCAGTGCCAAGGATTTCCTACTTGAGAAATAATTTAAACTTATATTTTCATATTGAGTGTCACACTACTTTTGGCATTTGAATTGAATAAAATACAACAGTATATAAAGCTTTGGAATTAAGCATCTAAAGAGAAGAAACTCTAAGGGTCTATCTGCTAGGAAGCTAACTATATACTGCTTGTCTGTAGCTGCTGCTATTAGGCACAGAAGGCAGTGTTGCAGGCGAGGTCCCAGGGTGACTATCAGGAGGGCGTTGACAGATCAGTGATTGTGCGGGCGAGATGGAGGGCCAGACCGGAAGACATAATGGACACTAACCGTGCAGTATCTATGACATGCCTTCTTTAGTATCTATGGGTAAACCCATACCCCTACCTACAGATATGGTACTGTGACTGTGTGGGTACGAGTAGGTCCTCCAATACCCATTGATATACCTGTGCTATTCTCTAGCCCTATGTGATAGGCAGAAGTCTCTAGTTAGGAGAGCATGATCTTGCTTATTCCCCTTGATAAAACTGAGTCAAAACTCAAAGATAAACAATGCCCAGGATGGAAATGGAAAGTGCACTTAGCCAAGTGTTAGTGTCAAGAGTGGTTGTCAGGGGAACCTCCCTTTTGGCCCCTCGGAGATGATTACAATTCCAGTTCTGACTCTGGTCTAGCCCTCCATCTCGCGCACACAATCACCCATAGCTGACTATATACTGCTTGTCCGTAGCTGCCACTGTTGGGCACAGAAGGCTTGGGCAGCGTCGCAGGCAAGGTCCCAGGGGAACCGTTGGGAGGGCGTTGACAGATCGGTGATTGTGCGGGCGAGATGGAGGGCTGGACCAGAGACACTATCGGAATCGGACCGGAATTAGATCGTCTCCAAGAGGCTGAAAGGGGGGTCCCCCTGACACTGGGGCACAGAAGGCCTGGGCAGTGTCACAGGCAAGGTCCTGGACCATTGGGAGGGTGTTGACAGATCTATGGATAGTGGGCCAAAGGGGAGGTTCCCCTGACATCTATGTAAAGGTCCAAATCAGACTTCAAAGCATGTGACTGGGAAATAGTGTTGCTGTGAGCCCAAGCTGACTTGTCCACGCTAAACTTGGCTTATTTCAAATCTGTCTGATTAAGTTGATTGGGGCTTGCATTGCCCAACATGGAAATTCAGTATATGTCCTGGCTTTTAAAACCAATTTCTTTGCTCAATGGCTTCAGAGCATGAAGAAACTAATGTACCACTTCTTGGATGAAGTAAAAGTCAGATATTTCATAATATTTGACTCTTGCCGTCATCAAGTGACAGAAGTGACCATGTCACTCGATTGAAGAGCTGAGTCATGAGCTGCAGATTCAGCGGCTCACACTGACACTGGTGGCAATGCCAATGGCGGTTGGCAATGGGGGTCCAACGGCGGCTTGAAAGGAAATTTTTTTCCTTTGTTGCAAAGAAAGAAATCTTTGTCTGCACCAAGGCTGCCCTTAGACCCCCCATTTACAGGCCGCCATTGGGCTTGCACCTGGTGTGAGCTCGAACTCGGCTGGTGGCAACACTGCTGGGAAATTACTAGGGTGCTGTGAGTAACTGTGGTTTCGAAACAGTTCCAAAACCGGTTTCAAAACACGTGTGAGTTTTGAAATCCACGGCCAGTTGACCCGGTTTGAAACCGACACGTGATGCCCCGGGAACCCGGGCCCGGCTGTCAGGGCTCAACACCCTCCCAATATCACCTGCACTTACCAGCAGAAGGCCAGGCAGATGGTTTTCATGGCAGTAGGGCTCCGCTGCTGCTCCGGTTGGGCTTGGCCCATAGTGTACCTCAGGATTATGATACCCGGCGCTGTCCCGAGCTGCCGAATGTCAGCAGACTCCCTCGGCTGGCCGGTTTCAAAACTGTTTCGAAACGGGGGAAGGGGGGGTTTCGAAACCAGTGTGAGTAATGTTTTTTGCATTACTCACAGCACCCTAGAAATTACCAAATAAGGTAGTTTCCACATCATGTGTATACATGCAGGCTGGTAGCACTGAGCTATCGGCAATTGGGTGCCCATTATTGGCACCTGATTTCCTACAAAGAAATCCAGCTCCAGATACACAAAACCTTGTCTCCATTAACCAGTTAAAATTCACGGTGGCGCACAGTGCAACACTTTTAAGGGCTTCTATATCAGACTATATGAGTGCATGAACAATTTAATGCATACAGTGTCTTTGCTATATTATTTCTATGTTACAAAGTAAAAGCACTAGGAAATTGCTACATGGCTTCATCTCATTCTCATTTGTTGTGCAGCCTTCCACTCATCTGCAGTCTTGTACTGATTAAATAGCTGCAACAAGGCCTCGGCTAATTGGGTTAATAGTGGTCTCCTCATCAAGTCTCCACAATATGTCCTGCGAGTAGTGGGTCCGTAAAATAGACATTCGACTTGGATGTAGAGCGTCAAGGGATCTGTCCCGAACTTGTAGAAATCTGCAACCTTGGTGATGTCATTGTAGAAGAACAAGGGAAGAAATTTGTCATATATGTGTGTCTGCTCAATTTGAAAGAGAAACACCTCCAGATCCCAGTAGTCATCGTCCTCTGCCAAAATGGTTACCTGCCAGTGTTGGGGGCTTGGAGGCAATGGCTGATAGTTGAAACGTAGCATACTTTCACCGTCGTGTACACAATCCGTCCGCAGCATTTTACGACTGATACGAGAGACGCTGCCCAGAGTTCCTACTGCAGTATTCCACTCATCTGCAGTCTTGTACTGCTCAAAGAGCTTTAACAAGGCCTCGACTAATTGAGTTAATCGCGGTCTCTTCATGAAGTCTCTACAATATGTACTGCGAGTGCTGGGTTTGTGAAACAGACGATCGACTTTATTGTAGAGCGTCAAGGGATCTGTCCCGAACTGGTAGAAATCTGCAACCTTAGTGATGTCGTTGTGGAGGAACAATTTGTCGTATATGTGTGTCTCGTCGATTTGAAAAAGAAACGCCTCCAGATCCAAGCACTCATCGCCCTCTGCTGAAATGGTTGCGTGTTGGGGGCTTGGAGGCAATGGCTGATAATCGGAACGTGGCATGAAACCTTCACTCCCGTGTACACAATCCGTCTGCAGCACTTCACTACTAATACGAGAGACGCTCCCCATAGTTCCTACGGCAGTATTGCTGATTTGTGCAATGGCCGCAAAAGGTGTAGAATTGGCCGGGGTGATGTGGATGAAGTGGAGTGGTACAGAAACAGAAGCTATTTTGGCGATTTGATGCGCTGGAGCATCTCTTGCCACCCATCGCAGTGAGTTTCGGCGCATCTAGTCTTCTGGCGCTGGAGCGAACGGGTTTGTGTTCGGCGGCTGGTGGAGGAGCACCCTTCAAGACTGCTTTTTTTGTAGACTGTCATCGCTAGTAAGTATAATATCTGATGTTTGTGTATTGTGGGCATTCACACGTTTTGTCGTCACAGCTGGACGGCATTCCAACATATCGGCTTGGATCAATTCCTTTAATTTGTCTTGGTCAGCGAAGTCGACATCTTTTGTAACATTGTCCTTGACAACTTTGCTGCCGGTGTTGTGTACTATTCGGGAGATAGTGCCAGAATTGCTTTTGAGATGTCGTGCAACGGCCTTCTGTGAGGCACCTGCACGGACGGCAAGGCGAATTTCTCCCCGGCTCGATCTAACATGTTTGCCGATTGCCAGTGTAACCTGTTCCTCCCCACTGGCAATCACGCTGAAGGAGCAATTCAGCTGTTTGTATGGTTCTTGGGGGTTACTGACGCTGCGACATCCTGCTTTTTGTTTCCGAGCCCTTCAATGTTATCATCAGTTGATACGTTAGTGATACCCCAGTCGACCTCAGCTGTAAGGCGTTGCTGAGAAAGAGTCGGAGATGTGTACTGTGTATCGCTGTGCGGGCTGTTTGTGAGTTCGTCGCAATCTTCGGACTCGCAGTCAGGCGGCGATTGACGTTCATGAGCGTTTTGGCCACCGGCAACGGATATGGAGTCATCAGGCAAAATCTCTTCAAGTTGTTCGACGTGCCCAAAATCTGCTGTGAGTCTCGCCATGGTGGCAAAGAGCAAGGACAAAAGAGTCACAAAGTCACAGCATTCACTGAGTTACTATTTCCGCAGTCAATTCATGCCTGCGCAAGGAGAAGCGGGGAACATACCCGGATGGTATCCTCCTATCAACCGGGCTAGACGAAATGGGCGACAGCAGCGCTGACATGGCCGCGACACGGCCGCCGCAAGGCCGCCGCCGCAGGGCCGCGACATGGCCGCAACCACCGTCACGCTCCATTGCACTTGGCCGCACAACTCGAAATGAGAAATGGTAAAAGAAGACAGGAAGGTGAATACTGGTACTCAGCTTACTTCAGCCACGGTTGGCAATGTACCAGTGCCCGAGTCATGTTTGTTAGTTCCAGTGCGCCTGGCGGGACTCAGGCTGAGTGTTGAATCTTGATTAATGTTGCCTGCAGCCTGAGTGTGCCGCAGGGCCGGGAACATATTCACATAGGATTAGCCCAAAGTATGAGGTCGCAATTCATGCAGGAATTGTATAAGGTGCAATATTGGGAGATCGTGATATCGGCGGCGCATTACTTATGTAACTTGTCGCGCTTGAATGACGCGAATCGCGATAGCACTGCTACAAAGTTGTATTCAGCCCAGATTTTCGAATTGGAGTTTCTGAGAGTGTTGATATTCGACAAAGTGTGGCCAGCGGGAGGGCGAGAGTCGGAAAGACTCAGGTTGCGGCTGTGTGACTGATGTTGCAGCCATCTCACTGATGTGTGACATGGCCGCAGCACAGCCGCAGCAAGGCCGCATCAAGGCCGCGACAAAATCTTGGATGGCTGCGGCCATGAAGGTACAGCCACATGAAGTTGGCCGCAGGGCCGCAACATGGCCGCCGTACTGCCGCGACATGTCAATACTTAAGTCGTTTCTCTGCGTCAAACCGAGCCGCGATTGATTTATTTTAGCACTACATGTCCCCTTTGACCAACCTGCACCCAGCTCTATGCTCTACTGTGGCAGCCACGTCCGTACGGCCTACCTGCGGCCGTGTGGCTGTGCAATCGCGGCCCTGCGGCCGTGTCGCGGCCACTTAGCGTGGCCCCCTATCAACCCTGCCTCCGGATCATCCGCGTCCACCTAGCGCAGGAAAGCCAGCCATAAACGTACAGTACGTGCCAGAATACGATACTTGCAGTAGATTCGATACATAAGGTCAGAGCTAGTGATCGTGGTGAGTAATAGCAGGATAGAAACTAGCAGTATAGAAACACAAGTCACGCACAGATTCGTGGTCTTGACGTGGATTCCAGCCTCGTTTCCCGCGTTTCCCTCCCTTGCGACTCACTGTCTTGACACAGCTGAGCCCCCAAGCCTCTCTCAGGCTATCGTGTTCGTCGTCCTGAGAGTCGTTAGGTCATCTTCGCGTGAGAGTCAGACTCGCAGTCAGAGTTGTCGATTTGGAGTCTGGTGTCGGCAAGTAGCGTGCTGTAAGAGTCGATTTCTTCATTAGAGTTTAAGTACAAGTGTGTATGGGCCGCGAGTTTGACGCGGTTGGGATCGAATATGCTCTTCTTCAGGATTTGGCGGAGTTGCCAAGCGTGCGGGACGAGGCCTATTGGAGGCGTCTGAGCGCAGCTGGCACTCGATGAGCTTCCTCTGCGTGTTCTGAGGCTTTGGACCTTTTCTTGGACGCGGTTGACGAGGACGGCAAAGACTCCTGGCAGAGGCAAGGGATGAGCATCACATCGCCGTGTCACGCTAGATTCGATTCTTAACTTACATCTGCTGGATGCGACTACCGCCGCTACTGGGGCTTCTTACTCTCATCTGGACAATGGCGCTCTGCCGTTACTGCAACAAGGACTTCGAGTCATACATTTTTCTCATTCAGATTGCCTCTTCTTATGTTTACTTGGAATCGTTGAGCTTGCACTTCCCAATTTCTACATCTTCGCTTCTTCATCTAAATCTTATTTAGAAGCTTATTTCCGAACGGTTAAGTACTCACCATACTGATGCCTGACATATCGAGCTTGCTCGACTTCGACTCGATGAGTTTTGCGGTCCACCTGGAAGCTTTGAGTCGCCTTGAGATGGCAATGTCCGCGACGGATAAGGCTCATAATAAGATGACGACCGTGCTGTGTATGACTGCGCATAAGAAGATCTTGGGTACATAGCCTCCCCACGCCGGGGCGAAGAGTGGGAAGATGATTGACCCCTTCTACCATTTCGTCTGCTGGGAGACCTTGACAAACGTGGTCTGAAGCGATCCTCCCGTGGGCTTGAAGACCGATCTCTAGCCCCTCGCCTTTGATGTGTGGGAAACGAATGGTCTGTAGCTCTTCCGTCCTGAAAACGAGCGCCTCGTGCGATAGCCCTACTGGTACCAAGCATGGAGTTTCTAATAGCATTGGACTCGGATGTCTCATAGCTCGACGATGTAATTTCATTGCGTCTTTTCGCGCCTACCACCTAGACTGAGTGAGTGACGATGATCAACAATATGGCTAACTCGAGTACCGCAGGATGGTCATCTGTCTCCACCGCTGAACTTACATTCCAGCAATCCAGAGAGTGAGCCGCTTTTGCTTTGTCTGCATCTCCTTCTATCGTCTTGCCTTGTCCTTCGCCTTTATCCCGGACGACGCCCTCGTCCATCCTCATCCTCTGCGTATGAATTTCATTTTCGGTCACTTCCGGATCGATTACGGTGGTGTTAGGGATTGAGACGACCCGGCCGATAAGATGACGGTGCTCCGCCTTCACAGTACCTGAGAGGTAGGCCCATTCCGATCCTGGTAGCTTCTTCCATTTTTGTCCGTTCTTAACTTCGAAGGACCAATTCGGTAAAGGAAATCCATACAGTTCAGCCTCATACGCTTGTTGGGGTATTTCAAGTCGGAAGGCAAGCCAATACAGCGTTTATGAGCTCGGTCATAGACTATGCGATTTGTCGGGATGGGTTGCTTTTGGCCTAAATACATTTGGAATCCTTCTTCTTTTTGCTCTTCGTCCCAGGTAAATTTTTGCCACTTTCCTTGAGGATCTGAGTCCGTGATCGGAGGGGGGACTCTGTATTGGATGTAATGGCTCCATCTTGGCACGAATAGAGTGGAATCTTCTTCATCGTCTTCCCAGTCCATGGGATTGTCCTGAAGACCAGTATTTAAGCGAGGTATTTCGTCGAAACTGGTGTCAGATCTCGAAGGTGGGTGCGGTGGTACTCTGATGGATTCCATGGTGGACTCAGAGGCTGATATGAGTTTAGTGGGCGCTTAGTCGAGTTCGGGACCGTCATAACCACCTTCATGTTCCTTCAGGCGAGTTGGTGCTTGAGCCATCGAATTCTGAAGAAAGGCTCAACTCGCCGTGTGACTGCGGGCCGTCACTGATTGTGACCCGGACAATGCCAGTGAGCGAGACTTTACAGAACAAACTCCAAGACGATTCAGAACACAGCAAAAGCTACTCCCTCCCAAATCGTTGACACAAGCAACACTCGAGAGACGGACGGGTCGTTTGGCGGTCTTTGCAGCGGCCATGTCGGTAATCTGGTGGATGATACGGGGACTCGGACGGAAACGAGCAACGATGAATGGAAAAGGTGTGTGCATCAGTATAGTATCCGACTTGAAACTAATGGCCCGACAGATATTTTATGGTACTCCTCAAAAAGCAAGATTACCTCGGCACTAGAGGGTAACCAAGGTATATGGTTAACGTTTTGACTCGGATGGTGGTGTAGTGTCCGCGAATGAGTGTGCGAGTGCTGCCGTGTGTAGATGAGCAGTCGAGACTTGACATGCACTTGCAGTTGCAGACGGGTCAAAGCAGAACAACATTGAGCATCTCGTAAGGCGTGCTTGATCTCCACCAAACCCTCGCGGCAACCACCATTGCCGCGATCCAATCGTGGGATTGCGGAAGGTGAGAAGAGAGGTACGCGTCCGGCCAGTGTCTCTTGCAACATTCTTTGAGCATCCAATGCCTGGAGGAAAGCTTTCGACGCAGTCGCCGAAAAACTGACTCTCCCTGATGTTGCTACTGTCTTCCTCAAATCCACCAATCCACGAATACGCCGCCTAAGCGGAAAACGATCAGAAGTGAAACAGACCAAGACAAAAACAACACGCACTGGTCAGTTTCAGCGTCCAGCAACGCTGTAATGAACTTGGTCAGGGAAACATCACGAATGGGGACTGCTCCCGCTTTATCCAATTCTGTCTGAACATTTTGCATACGGCGTTTCCCAACAACCTTGATCAAGATGAGCATTAGTCGACCACTCAAAGTCAAACAACGCACCCTCAGACTTTGCGTCAGAGAGATTGGGCACGGTTGTCGCCTAAAGTCAATGTCTTGTTCTTGCTTCGCCCACTCTTCCGCTGCCATGTCCAGTAATAACAGCGCTAGCAGATGCCAATGAGTAACAAAACGCGAATTATCAGACGATACTCACCCGGTCCAAGGGTCTTCATCCAGTTCCAAGTCGTCGAGTTGATCCCATCGAGCGCCAGGTCCACAGACGCGTGTGCTTGCCTGCAACCCCACCGATCATGTTCCATTAGCGCTCAATACTTTCGCCGTCCGTCATACCCGAACCGAGAATGTAAAGTAGAGAAAACAGGATTTGGCACTGGATCAAGTGACCTTTGATGTGCATTTTGCCCTTTGAGGCAATTTGGCCAAGCGCTCAATCAGATATTTCATCCACGGACAGACGATGTCGTAGGAGATTAACTTGGGGAGTCTGGAGTTCAAGCGGCGCATGAAGGAAGCGAAGATGCAGTCCAGGTTGCTGTAGCTGACGAAGTATGAGAGCGACTCACTTTCTTGTAAGACGACTTACCGCCGCCCGCTTGCAAATCACCTACACCATTAGGAAGCACACGAATTGCCCCTTGCGCAAACCCCCCATACCAACACCAGTAACACTATAGCCTCGGGAGAACTTGGAATTTGCACGGTCCAGAGCCGCAAGACCGCTGCAAGTGCAATCAGTCGAAGATATTTTGTCGGAAGCGAAACACGTTACCTCCTGCTTGTCCGTCACCGTCAACAGATATTCGCGATAGGGATGTCATTCGATCATGTGCCGCCAACCCGTTCCAAGACCAGGGTCTCAAGCTCGTTTGGTCGTTGAGGCGGAAGCAGGCATTCATGGCAATGAACATGATATGATGCACAAGCATCTGAACGAAGATCAGATTATCATTGCCGGAAGAAATGCAACCAGCTTACTGGTCTCCTGGAGGAGCATCTTCCCATCATTCGGATAGGTGGACCTGGCCGCGGACAAGCGGGACATTTGAGGGCGAGCTCGCCCGGCCCAGTTCCCATCACGCCTCAGGTGTCGATACTGGCGAGAAATTCGCAAAAAGATGGAGTGACGGTCCGGTGGATTGATCCCCAAGCCATCGGTTAGCGACTCCAATGTCGAGTAATAGTCGTAGGCCGTCATTTTTGCACGCAAATACAGATAATGAAATCTGTCAAGACAAGAGAATGTGGCGCACGTTCGGCGAGAAGGTCGTTGCAGGATAATAGCCGGCTTTCAAGAGTTGTCGATCGCAACGCCGCGAATGCCATTGTCGGCAATTATAATTATGACCAAGTCGGGACGGCCAGTTCGGGGAAGAGGACATGTCTGTCCAAGCAAGTGGCCAAATTGGATTCGAAGGGCCCAATCGCGTGAGCTGGTTCTTACGGAGTAGACACCAGTCTATTTCTAGCATCGGAAGATCAGCAAAGATCGAGCGCGATAGGAATTTTTACCTCAATAAAATGGGTTGGGTTGGTTTCATGCTTTCGAACACAGCACTCAGCGCAAACCATGCCGTGGCAGGTCTCGCAATTGAATGAGAAGCACACAGGTCAGACTGCCTGCCACGTCCATTTCTCCATAACATAGCTTGAAGGTACTTGTCTCAAAAGCTTTCGGCCCAGGCTTGCATAGCTTTATCCTGTCATATGTTGAGCTGCGGTAAAGCAAAGAGCATGCTTACAGCTGGCTGACTTTTGGCGAACACCGGCAGGGTTGCTTAAAGGTTCAGCTTCAGAGCCAATCTCGTATCTCTCCGGCTTGTCCCCGGGCAAAAGAAGGGAGGCTCCTAACACGCTAGATGGCTGGGGCGGGCGCGTTTGACAGGAGAGGAAAGTGGAACCAGGACAGTTTCGGCACGACACGCCGATTGTCGCTGGTAACGATGGATCGTGGTGGCAAGGGAAGCATCAGCCGGGGCTCCAACAAGGTCTTCGATTGGCCAAGTATGGTGATGCACAAAAGTCGGGGGTACTGCAGCCCGGCGTTCGAGAGAGAGAGACGAGGAGGAGATTGCTATTTGGCAATGGGCAAGTCTGAGGAATGAGCGCACGTGCCCTGATTACGAGTACCTGAGTAATCGTCTATGACTAATTTCGTCCGCTGATTTATTATAATCTTAATACAATATGGTTTAATACTATACAAGATACTGACAAGACACTTATAAGTTTCTTATAGGAAGCTTAGAATTTGTAATAGTCTCATAAGGCTATAATAAGATGTTTCAATAGTATATAAGATACTGACAAGACACTTATAAGTCCTTTATTTACTGGAGACAGAGATGTCTCTGGAGGCTAAAAGGGAGGTTCTGTAAGGGCAACCCCGGAGGCCTGAGATCAAGGTCCTAGCAGGGGAGGATCCAAAGCGTGAATATTGGTAAGCAAATACGAATAAAGCTGACCTAGCAGGGGAGGATCCAAAGAGAAGAAACTCTGAGGGTCCGCCTGCTAGGTAGCTGACTATATACTGCTTGTCCGTAGCTGCCGCCGTTGGGCACAGAAGGCTTGGGCGGCGTAGCAGGCAAGGTCCCCGGGCAACCGTTGGGAGGGCGTTGACGGATCATTAACGCATCGGTGATTGTGCGGGCGAGATGGGGGGCCGGACCGGAGTCGGAACCAGAATCAGACCGGAATCGGACACGTCTCCGAGGGGCCGAAAGGGGACTTCCCCTGACAGGTTCTCCTAACATCACCCTCCCCTTTGAATGTGGTGTCTCAATGCATAGACTAGTGAAGGGTGCAGAAGTTGTGCACTGGTAGACAGTGGCTGCAGGTCCTCTCAGACTCACATTTACCAAAAAGATGCACAGCCAGAGTTGAATGACTGGCCAGACTGAATCAGGCAATCCTTCAGGGGCCTGATGCATTGTCAATTTAGCAGCAGATTGTATACTCTATAGAATTGGTTGGCCCTAGCCCAGTGGGGTTTGTTGTGCTCATTGTATTTTGGAACTTGGTTCCTATTAACGTCACATGTTATGAACACAAGCACAAGTGTGACAGTGCTAAATTGATTACAAAGACATTTGGTCACTGTTATAATATGTTTTGTTTTGATAGTATATAAGATACAGACAAGACACTTATAAGCTCTTTATGAGCAGCTTTATAATATGTTTTAATAGTTTTATAAGGCTCCTTTGATATCTTTTAATAGTCTTATAAGGCTCTTTTAATATCTTTTAATAGTCTTATAAGGCTCTTATAATATCTTTTAATAATCTTATTATAAGCTTAATCTAATATGGTTTAATACTATATAAGATACTGACAAGACACTTATAAGTTTCTTATAGGAAGCTTAGAAGTTTGTAATAAAGCCTATGATAAGATATTTCAATAGTATATAAGATATTGACAAGACACTGATAAGTCCTTTATTTACTAGAGACCGAGAGGCTAAAAGAGAGGTTCTCCTGACATCACCCACCCCTTTGAAACCAGAAGAGTATTACATCAAAGGTGGTAGAGGCAATGTGCTGTGGCTTACCTGCATACTTCCTATCAAACTCTCTGACCTCATCCAGGGCAAAGATATGGTCAAAGTATCACCTGCAAGTGTAAGAATCAGTCTAGGCTCTAGGAGTAGCTTGAATAAGGGTAGCATAAAACTCTAGAAAGAATTTTTTCAGCTAACAAAGACTTTAGAAATGCGTCATTAATATATTAAACTGATAGATATAATGTTGAAAATACTATATATACTATTATACAGTAATGCTAACTCCTTTTCTTCTGGCCAATAACCTGGCATGTAGTGGAAAAGGCCTGTATTCTAATTGGGATCAAAATGATATAGCTTGACATAGTGATCAAACCTACTAATGGTCATAAAAACTCACTCCACATTAATCATATATATTAAAGATGACAATCCCCATCAAAATTAAGGTAATTTTAAGACAGAAAATAATTAAATGAATAATAATATAATAGTGATTATATAACTAAAACATAGGGACTAGGATGTTACACTTTCTAGGCTGATCACTGATGACAGTGGCACATTTGATCCCATCATCAATTTCTGATGATATCATCAACCTCTACCACATCACACCAACCAACCCCAAACGACGGCTAGCACAGCCTTACCATATTTGGTTAGATGATATCATCCATCAATCCATCAATGACTCAGACTGAGTCATATCAATCTGAGTCAGAGTGAGTCATGACGTGAGTCAGGGTGAGTCGGTATGAGTCAGAGTGAGTCAGTATTAGTCAGCCTGGAATTAGTACATAAGTAGGACACTGGTGGCCTTCTGACTCTGGATTAGTGGTTGAGAGCTAGTCGTTTGGTTGACTTCACATGTGTTTGAGCCTTCATCCGACTTTTCATTCTCCTTGTTTCCTTTTAGCGCTCCTCCTCACGTGCAGCCCTCCCACTTCTTATTTTAATATTTGACTTGACTGGCTCCACCGCCAGCGACGCTTTCCCAGCTCTGAGCAGCCCAATGCTCTGAATCAGAATAACAACTCATTTTAATTGTATGTACCTAAACTATTGATGGCTTGGCACTGTCACCGAAGACCTTCAGCACTGACACAATGGTGTTGTGTCATCAGTTTGATGTCCGATCATCAGACACTGCGACACTGGTGGGCATATAAGGGCTAGTAAGTGAGGTGGGCCAAAAGTGGGTAAGGTCACTGTCACTGACAGCAATGACAGTAGAGGCAGTGATAGGTCGCTGAGATATCATTTAACAGAGATTAATGGCCTACATCCTAGGCTTCGGAGCGCACATTGTTTTAAAAGATTTGGTTGAGAATTGAGCTTGTAGTAGGGCAGAAAAGTTGGAGGCAATGGCAGTCTAGGCAAAAGACAGCCAAAACCCAATTTGGCAATTCAGGGTAATTTCAATAGCAGAGTGAATGCCCTGCCAATTCTGGTGAAGAATCACTTACAAGTATGTGAAATAAGCTACATTTGGTAGAGATACAGAGGTAAAACTACAGTGATCAAGGTTTATTGTAAATCAAAAAATTCACCAACTGCCATCATATATGCAAACGACAATAATAGTGTTAATATTCCAGTACTTAAGTTGAAGGTCATCACTGTCCCCCAATGGCTTGTTATGAGTGGGTTTAGCAGTGGATTTCAGTTTGTTACACCATACCCGGGCTCATGCCTCCTTGACAAGTTCACGTGTTTGAAGCTCCGAGGTGCAGATAGAAAAATAGCGGGCAGACTTCCCCAGAGCTCTAGTTGCATTCTGAAGCGACCGTAGCGTTGAATCAGTGTGAATCCGCATCTTAGCATATGCATGCCATATCGACATCCAGCCAATCAAATCAACAGTCATCTTGTTGAAGGGCTTGGGGAATAGACCTTCAAATGCCAGAAGTGCACACTGGAGAAGGTCTTCAAAGTCACAGGCAGCGAACTTCTGTTATGGAATCGTCAAATGACACTCACAGCCATGATTCAAAAATGTTTAGGTGGGAAATGTTAGTGGGAATGTATAAAGTTTTGCAATTAATTTTTTATTGTGTAAAAAACTTTGAGTTTTTCTGTCCAAAAAATGTTGACTTGGCTGGGCAAAAGGATTTTTAGGACCAAAATATTTAATGTTTTGCAATGAGTTTTTGGGCCAAGAAAAAACTTTATATATTCCCACTAACATTTCCCACCTAAACATTTTTGAATCACGGCTGTGACTCCGGCCAAACGTTCACAAACTGATTTAGGTTTTTCACAAACTGATTTAGGTTTGTGCTTATACACCTCTGAAAATTGCCGTGATGGTCACCACCACCGCATCACTGCATGCCGTGTCACATTTTCCCATGTCAACGGGTGCATTCTGAAATCTCTTGATGCCAACAAAAAATATTCTTTCTGAGCATAAGCAATAAGAATAGTTGCTGCAGACTTGCTTTAAATGCCGGTGATAATAAAACTAAAGCTACATTTACTCTGAGATATGATATCTCATCAATAATAAACTTCATAATTTGATGCTTCAGGAGAATATTCCTCTCTGCTGAATAAATTAAAATCTAGATGAGTCCCATTTCAGAGTAGTTTCAGATCTGAAAATAAGCACATTTGGGTCCCATTAATATTGCTACTTGTTTGACACAAACACTATAAGTCAGTATTTCAACTTGAAGTCACTATTACTGATTCAGCTTCTGGTCACCAATATTTATGCAAGGCTCAATATTCCATTGATTTTACAGTGTTTTTAATCAGTTTGTGCTATGCCGCTTGTCGGCCCACCTTAAATCATGCTAATGTACCGTCGAAAGTGGCACTGATTGTCACAACCTTGTATTACTCATCCATCAAATGTCACATTTAGAATGGCAGGAACGGGCCGCATCTTGTCAACCTCCATAATAATTTAATAATTGTTTGTTTGTTTGTAATATGTTAGATGTAGCCACATTGTAGCAGAGATAAAATATCCATTGTCTGTCTTGAAGTCAGGGCTAAAACCAGTCCTGTCTATATCTGAGTCTTTAGGCAGTCTAAGCATTATTATAAGTAAATTCTAGTCAATTTTTTGTTGGAAAATTAGTGTGTAAGCAAGTGGGTTAGCATCCTTGAGTTTACTCTCCAAAGCCTCCCAGACTGACCTCGGGTCTATAATCAGTTTGTGCTACGCCGCTTGTCGGCTTACCTTTGATATTGGGAATACTCGGTAGCTATAGTGTACATAAGTAACTGTTAGTAACAGGAAACACAGTCACACGCACCGCTGGTCCAGCTTCTGAACTGTGTCTGGCCCAAACAACTTGCACATTCGAAAAGAGGGAGTAATAATTAACCCCCAACTTGCACAGAAACTCCGAGAAGGCACTGACAACAGGGGCCTGGGAGTCGGAACCAAAACGAAGCTTGGCTTGTATCGACTGGTGCTTTATTGCATACCCTTCCGAAACATCTTGTCACGAGCCACCGCAACCGCAGCCTGGCGGGCCTCACTATCAAGCAGCTAGAGCTTCTGGCGTCGTGCAGCATCTGACTTTGTACCCATCAGGTGCATCAAGTCCACTGTTGTATTACAGCAGGGACAAATGAAGGGTGTCATTGTGCGAATAGCAGCCAGAAGCATCCTACATAAGCATTCAGCAAAGCTCATCAGAGTGGAATGGCACACTAACTTCTCGGGATAGTCATTGGAGTTGATCAACAAGCGAATAAATGCTTGTCGTCGAGTACCTTCTCCACAAGTCGCTGGCTCGCCATGACAATATGCACGAGCAAGTTCAGGCGTTAGGATAAGTCGCCATACTGCCTGGAATAGATCTCTTCGCAGCTGTGCGATGACAGTTCTGGTAGGAGCTGTCCCGTAAACACGATGGTATTCATCGTAGACTTCATCGGGGAGCTAAAAAAGAACTATTAGCCTGCCAAGTTACCCAAGAGGATAGGACTACCTTCGGAATATATGCCAGATGACGAGCCAGCATTTTCGAAGGTTTAGCCCGCAAATATTTCGAGTAATTTGCGACCCAGCCATATATCGGCCACATAGAAGCAGTTCCGAAGTTCGCAAGATGTGTCGCATCTGAGTGGATAATCCAAGCCACCACCACGGTCTCCAACGTACAGCTGTCAGCATCAGGACGGTTACGGATTTCTTCCTCAAATTGAAGGAGAGCATCAGCCGTGTAAGCTTCTCCGTGAACGCGTTCGGGTCCATGACTGGAATTAACCATCAGGATATGGCCCTTGATGTTCATTTCCGCCATTCCTGGGTCGCAAGGCAGCCTTGGTGACCTCCAACAAGTCGCGATATTAGACACCAGCAACCTCGAAAAGTGGTGCCTCAGCTTCAGCAGCTTGGCTCCTGGCTTTGGCAAGGCCAGACGAACTGTTTCCCTCTCGCCATTCATCCTGCGGGTGCTCTGGATCTGAACTAGCATCTTCTTCGCCAGGTGTGGACCCACCAGCCATCGACTCATCAAGTCTTCTCATCTCACGGTGCGCGTTAAAGCCGTTGAGGTGTTCGCGATTGAAACGGGGCTCGAGGATAACATCATGAACGAGTTTATTGAGGGAAGATGCAGTAACTACAGTCGTGTCATATGCCCAGTGTAGCAACGAGAAGATCGACCAGTTCTTGAATGGCCCACAGGAACCATCTGGTTGTTCTTTGAACGTCGGAGCCAAGGCCAGCTAGTGGATGACGTGGGACTTCAGGAGTCACGTTGAAAGTGGCTGCATCAAAGGCCTCGTCTTCGCCGTTTGTCGTTGGCAGGCATTGCGGCAATTCTTTGAAAACAGCAAAGACACCGAAGTCGTCGGGCTCTGTAGCGACGTATACGCCTGGTACAGGCAAGGTGTTGCTGGAGGCGGCGACGAGTACATCTACCACCGGTAAGGTCGGGGAAGGAGATCGCATTGTGTCGATTTCGCGCAGTTGGGGAAGTGGAATGCGTGTAGCGGCGGGAAGTACATCAGGGACTGTTCGAATGGGTTGTTGCGCTATTCGGGTGGACCTGCGAGGACCAGGAGATCGATTGGGAATGGGTAGCATGGGTTCGTCTTGGATTTGAGCTTGAGATTGCAATGGCGCTGTCGTAGGTGGTGGGGGTGGTAGATGCTCGACCTGTTGCAAAGTTAGCGAATTATACCACTTGCTGTACCATTCACACCTCCATAGTATCAACTACATTCACTGCCGCCTCATCATTAGCCTCCAGCAGCATGGGCTCCGCTTGCGCTTGCGAATTTGCGAGTGACTGGTGACGTTGATGCTGTTTTTGTGTCGCCAGCTTTTGAGGGATCACTTGTAAGCGAATAGACGTGGCGTGACTGACGCGTGACACGTTTCTTTCTGCTCGACCACCATGGCCAGTAGCAAGTCGTCTTCGGCTGCTGTTGCTGCCAAGTTGTTCCCCAGCTCGATTCAGCCTTACCCAACCGTCAACGACGCGAAAAAGAAGCCCAAGAGAACCAAGAAACCAACCCAGACACCTCCAACGCGACGCGCAGGACGAGCATGAGCAGGAGGGGGACTATAACGATGAGGAAGCGATGGAGCCGCGCGTTCCGGGCTGTAGGACGGCAGCCTCGCAAGAAGAAGGCGAAGAGTGGGACACGCAGCCGAATTGAGGCCAAATCTTTGTGTGTTGCATTCCACCTCCCCTTCACCATGCTCACGACCTCATAGGGAAACATACTTCCGCCATATCTACGACAAGTCGCGCATGCTTGCCCGCACAGCCCAACCCTTCATCAATTTCCGTGGAGTCTTTTGAAATCAAGCTCGACGAGATTGCCGAACGACCTATCCATCCTGACGACAAGCCGCACCTCAAGACATTCGACATCCTTGCGCAAACCATCCCTGAGCTCAATAATCTGATCAAGAAGGAAGACTACGACACGCTCGACAATGTTGTGAGAGTGGTGCGTGATTGTCCTTTCCTCTACGCTTCACACTCATCTGCTCAGATGCAAGAAGGTGCCAACCAAGCGAAACACGCCGACACGCGCCTCTGTCGTACGCAAATCGAGAAGATGATCCCGTTTTCCCCTGACACTGCCCTTTCGCCCCCCCTTCCTCATCAAGCACAAGCCCGACCGTGGCTTCCATCACCCGGAAACGCGCGCACTCCTTGTTGCGCAGGCGGATATCTCAAAGCTCTCGAATGAAAGGTACGTCTAATTTATTTGTGGTCCCAGTCTAATGTGCTGTTAGCAATTGAAGGACAACAAGATTATCTACAAGTACGAGGACTACCCAGCACTGATGTACGATCAGTTGAAGGCCACCGAAGAGGACGACGAGGCTGGGTTCATGGAGGGCCATGTACCAATCCGGGTGAACCAGGGATATCTGGCCACTCCCGTTGCTGACCGCATTGACAGGTTCTTCGTGCGATCCTCAACAGCCCTTCCAACGCCTACCAATGGCGTGAAACGGTCGAACGCGGAGCGGAAGAATGTTCGACAAGTTACGGGCAGACTTGTCGCGTACGCTCATGTTCAGGTATGTGATATTTCCCCAGATACTATGACTGATCCGCAATAGTGGCGATATTTGAAGAAGACGAAGACGATGAGAAGGTGCAAGCCATTCTCAAGACATGGGACAAGTACGTGTCCCCATTATATTATGCTAGCTCTGACCTTTCCTAGCGAGGTATTCGGCGAACGTCAAGTTCGGGACGCCGCAAACATTGTGTCCGATCCCACTTCCCGTTCCGCACGGCTTCGTGCTGCTCGTCACGCTCGCAAGGCCGCCGCTTCCACTTAAACACTGTGTTCTACTTGCTCCAGCTCCTCTGTCCCATTCCGAGAGTTCACAACACTGCTCATGTATTCTGTACTGCTACCAATTCAATGTCTGTAGTATCTATCTGCCCTGTTGTGCCCGATAAGGACGGCCAGACCACCACGTCCCATTTCTGGCCACCCGCAAACCAGATGTGGTGCCTCGACCGCCATATGAGGCCATGTGTGACCGCCGGGACACAATGCTTGGTCTCCGGGACGTCATACCTGGCCTTTCAGCACCATATTCCCAAACTCCCACAGTGGCTGGCACAAGTGATTGCAACAGTAGAATCTCAGTAATTTCAAGTACAGCGAGCGATACAACAACAATACGATAGCAGGTCGTCAACACGATTCACATGACCGTCTCAGAGTCGCACGGAGCTAGCAGTACATCACACCCACCGGCGTACTTCCCCGCCACCAATCAAGGTCCATGGGTTGACTGCAACGACGAAGTACGGCCCAGGTGATGAATTTCTGGTTCGCCAAGGGCAAAACGGCCAAATCGACGGCAGTTTTTCCGGTTGAGTAGTCCAGAGTGTCGATCGGATTCACCTTCCACCTGTCCATCCCCCACACTTTCAGAATATTCTCAGCCCAGATGCCCTCAATCCGGGGTGGCTCGTCTCCAAAGTGGTAAACCACAGATAGCGGCTTCAAGCCAGTCTCGATCGCCATCGAAGCCATCCCCTTGACTCGTGCGAACACAAAACTTTCAAAGTAGTATTGCAACACCCGACGGATGTACCCCCCGCTCCATACTGGCAATGCCACGAAATTCCGCCTCTGGATCATGGTCAGCTACATGAAGGACTGCTAGGTAAAACTAGACGCACGCCGCGTGTGCTGCGACAACGTCGGGCAGCACAATCTATGTGCTGGTCGTTCCCGCCGCTGGCACACTTTATCGCAGTAGTACATTTGTAGACAAGCAGAGCAAACTTTCAGATCGTGCTTTGATTTGACCGCGTTGCACTGGAAGCTGTTAGTAAAATCCACAAGAATGCTGACTGACACTGGCACCCACAGATTGGCAAATTCCCCTTCTATATTCAGCGCTATCCTTCCGGTCTTCAATGATATAGAACAGTTGCATCTGAGTCATCGAGCTGTCAGGTCGTGCTGCCTGCACCCCAAGGATAGTCCACGTACATTACGCTCCAGTTGAAAGCACAAGCCCCTCAAGATTGTACTTGAACCGTTGTAGTTTTCGAATATTGAAGATCTAGCGTTGAGAGCTTTCACGAGCCGTGGATTCCATATCGACTGCGAAAACGTATAGTAAATCTCCTGGAGCAGGGCTTCCCTTTGGCTGTCGAAACACTTCGCAAAATCGAGGTAGCGCAGAAAAATCTCGATCCCTGATACGACGCCAGTACCAATAAGCATCGGAATGCCGAATTGAAGGTATGACCCTTGCTTTTCCGCTAGCTGCAAGAACACATCCACTATAGTATCCATTGCCGTTGACATGTCCTGTTCGCTAATTTGCGCGCGGTCGGAGTCCAGCAGCGCCAGCAACATATGGAACAGCTTTTCGTATAGATTCTGGGCAACCAAAGCATCATGCATTTGAGGGTCGGCTGTCCCTCCCTCCCTGTAGATACAGCACATATAGCCCAAGACCCACACAGTCATTTCGTGCAGTCCCCAGTGGTGTTCGGATTCCGGCGAGCCACAGATAGCTAGCATAATATCGATCGCCTGTATGATTTTTTTGGCGAGCAGGGTAGGTCCGTTGAAACCCCGGGGGGCTGATAGGGCGATTATGTGCGGTTTGGCCAAGTAACCCATGAGGCGCAGAGTGCCTATTCCAAGTATGCCGATCCTGTTGTCGGTCACCCCGTTGTCGCGGCTTGCGCGGCAATGACACGCAGAAGTCGGCGACGAGCCCTATGTCGTCTAACAAGATCGCGGATAAATCAAGTACGAGTCGAACAGCCTGCTTCTGAGTCTCTGACTCCGGCTCGCTCTGGAAGTTGCTTTCGTCCACAATCGGCGCCAGTACGGCTGCTATATCGGTGAATCGTATGAGCGCACAGCCGGTTGTGGTCTGGATTTCTTCGCGAGACGCAGGACCCTCGACAACCTCGCCTTGCGAGTCCACAGCATGCGTCGGCAGTTCCAGATCGGCTCCAAACTGTATCAAGTTAAGTCTCCACTTCCAGAACGAGGGCCATGCTTCAACTGCCTCTGGCTCTGAGATGCAATTATGTTGGGCAATGAGACGCATGAGCTCCCACACTATCGCATACTCTGTCTGTCGGGCGGCCCAGATGGGGTCCGGAATTTTCGAGTCAGCATCAAAGCACGGGTCGTCTCTCTTCGAGCGGAGCGGTTGCTCGGGCATGTTTGAAGAGTTCAAGTAGGATTTAAACCATGGCCACACTGACGTCCAGGGAGTCGCCGAAGTTTTTGGCGCCGAAGTCCTCACTCGGTTGTGTTGCGCGTAGAATAAATTAAGGCGAGTATTGAGCGGGTAATTCTAAGGAAACAGCAGCTGAGTTATGGCACTTCTATAGCTGTCCACTCGTATTTCTTACCCAGAGTGGCTCAGACATGAACGTGAACGCAAACTCAAGAAAGTCACTCGTCACACCATCAAATTAATTTATCAAATTAATTTGATTGGAAGACTCAACCACAAAACTTTGAAAGGGCTACTACTCAGTAATCTACATGTCATTGTCTGTAAGCCCATCGAATGCACCATCCAATACATCTTCATCCTCTTTGACAACGGCTCGGACCGCATTTACAAGGGATCTACCCCATTCGGAGTAGAAGCGCTCGGCCATCCGTCGATGAATGTCTACCTGCCTTGTATCGATCCTGTAAGTTATGCCATCTAAGAAAACAGCAATGTGATCACTAAGCTACTCACAGGTGTCTCCTCGGTCTGAATTGGGTCTTGTTGCCTCTCTAATGCACGGATAAAATCGTGTGTGGTGACGTTGCCAAGAGCCCAGAGTAACCGGAAGTGCTCAAGCGCCGCAAAGGTCGCCATCAGCAAAAAAAACAAAAAAAACATGTCAGGGTTTACATACCTTTACAAACCCTCGCAAAGGCCCAAGGAGCACAAGCCATCAAACGGCCATATATTGCGACCACGAAGATCACATCGCTGACGGTTATGATATTGGACATATGGTTTGCTAGGAGTCGGAGCTATACAATGCCATGTGTTGCTACCTTAATGACATGCACTGAAGAACGATTAGATGGCGCTGTGAAATGAAAGAAGATATACTCGGGGAAAGCAGGGCTGTCCTTGTACTCCAGGGGCAGGAGCAAGCTGCCGTCGTAAGCGTCGTTAAACCCGCGAAGGTCCTTGTCTGTGCAGCCGCAGTGTTGGGGGTAATACTCGTGTCAAGACCAGTGGAATCGACAGGAATACCATCGGCGGTGTTGGTTGTGTTGTTGCTTGCGGAAGGCGGTGGCGGCAGACGGATCCAGTTATCGATCTTGTAACGAAGTGTGCCGGAGTCGTCTGAGCGGATGCTTTCGATTCCGCCGTTGACCTAAAAGATTAAAATGAGAAAATGAATGAGCAGCATGAGAAGCATACTGAGCGGGCGAGCGCTTGAGGAACTTGAAGTTGTGAAAGTTGCTGAGGATCATAGCATGAAGGCCGGTATTGGATTGCCAAAAGATATCGTAGGCGTCGCCAAGTCGCTTGTTTCCTATGCTGAAGGATGTTTAGCTTGATGAAGAAATGT